TCAAAAGTCATTTCAACACCAGCAATGAAGCTACTCATCCTCTCAACTCATACAGTCAATGGAAATAGGACTCATGAAGAATGAGATCCATTACAGCACATAGAAAACACAACTATTGCTGCACTGATTTGAAATACCCATGAGCAAACCCAACAGCTTGGCAGAACATGCAAGGAGACCTGGTCCTCACCCAGAGGAGATCACAGTCAACATTCCAGATGGTGAGAAGCGACAGCAGAAAGTGAGAGGTGGGAGGATGGCAGGGGATTGCAGTTGGATGAGCATGAAGGCTCAGGGCCCACGTGAGAACATCTTGGTGGCTGTAACATCCTTCTCTGTAAACACTACAGGGGACTTACAGGGCAAAATGAATTTCCAGAGAATAAAATAAGAAAGGCACAATCAAGTGGTTGCATCATAATTACTGGACTTTAGAAGACAAAGCAATAAAAATATGAGTTTTAATTACATTTGCAATCCTGATTTATAAAGTTTAGGAGGCTGTCCCGAGGTATCAGTGTTTTGAGGGATTTTTAAAATCACACATTTTCTATAACTGTGTACGAAAAAATCACACTAGATGAGACTCCTCCGGGACTGTGCAGACTGTGAGATCACATTGACAAAATGAATCACCCAGTTTGTCTCCCCTTGTGACTAAATTTCAGGGTACTGCACATCTAGATGAGACCTTCTTGTGTTTCCACAGTTGCTTCACGATTTTCCTTATCCCTAGGATCACACTAAGATTGCATTTCATTTTATTTTACATAGACTTTTCTATTTTGGGTATCACATTTCCTCTCACAATTCATCAAGAACACGAGGAAAGGTGAATACCTCCAAAGGAGCAATATCTTCCTCACACCCTCAAGGTATATTTTGGCTGTAATTTTCTCAATGAGAGACATTTTAAGTTTTCCTAATTTGCTTTCTTGGTAAATCATCAAAAGGGCTCAGTTTTCCAAAGTAAGTGCTTGTAGATGCTCTTAAAATAAACTCTCAAACAGTATGCAAGAAAAGGTGTAAAAATGTGTTGCAATTTAAGCAGTAGATGTATAGAAGCCCTGGGACATTTTTTAATATGTTGACACACCCTGGGATTTCTCAGGTCCTGAGACACACTTGTTACAACCTCCCTGCACAGGAGCCTGAGTTGTCTTGCAGACACATTTTGCTGTTTGAGGAGAACAGAGCTGTGCTATGTCTGCTTCCTCGTCCTCCACCCCATCTCAGCCTATGCCAATGTCAAAACAAACCCTTTAGCTTCATTTGTGTTTCTAACATAGAACTTCACAGCACACTGGGAGAAGTGTCAGGATTCTTTCTTCTTTTCATTCCATTTTTATTGCAGTGTGGAACACAGCGAGGAAGATCGTGTTATCCAATTACATTTGCATGTTTACTTAAGTCTCAAAATATCCCCTTGATTTTTCACATTTTATTTTTTTTTTCTTCCAGCCTTTTCACAGGAAAAAGTGAATCATGCTCCACATGCTTCCGTAGAATGTGGAAAGAAAATAAATCAGACAGCATTCCTGTTTGAGACATCGAAATGCTCAATGCCTTCTGAGTACCTGTGTGCTTAGAGTAAAGAGGTCTGCAGGGTTCCTTAGGGCCTTGCACTAAAGGATGGGATCTATAAACATTTTCCACTCTGCTGAGCTTTCATTTAGGAAAAAACAGGTAGTTTAATGAGTTAACAAGAAAATAGCTTTCAGATCTGAATACACTGCAGAGGTGTACACGTCTGAGTGCTGGTTATTGTAGTGTGTGAGCTCAGCTGAAAGTGGCAAAAAGGGGAGAGAAGTCAAAACAAATGCTACGAGCACTGTATGTCTACATTAGGAAAAATGAATTAATACATAAGTGACAAGATGGTAAGTTCATAAGAGATGATAATACCCAAGGAGTTTGGGGCAGACGTTTTTGAACTGATAGGTTTGGAGTGCATCCCACAAAACCTCCCCTGGGCTCTCTGGAGCTTGGACTGCCTGGACAGTGAGACTGCAGATGTTATACAGAGCTCTCCGAGCCTGATGAAGGTTGTAGAAGCAGCTTAGTCCAGAAATTCCTTTTCTCCTGCTCTCTCCAGTCACCAGAGTCAGACTGATGGGGTCTATGACTGGGATGCCACATGCACAGTGAGGATCTGAGTATTTTTATAGTAGCTTGTTAGGAGTCTAATTTCCAGCTGCTAACATGCTTGGAGAAGCAATTCTTAATGGATTACAGCCCTGGAAACTCTCTGTTTGAAGAGCACTGATGGTCCCCCATTGGTCCTGGAGATTACTTTGACTGAACCCATGGGATGGATAGAAGAAATGTGACAGCACTGCTGGGTCAGGCTGAACTGTGTCTTCCTCAGTATCTAGCCTTCAACAACAGCCAAGAGAGGATTTGAGGATTCATACACACTGAAAAAGTGTATGAATGCATAAGAAAAATATCTACTGGCACTTCTCCAGTGTACTGTCCTAGCTTCTGGTGATCTGCATGTCAGGAAATGCATAAAGTTGACACCCAAGTTCACAGCTCACTTAAATTTTTGTTTCATAAGTTTGTGGGCTGACCCAAATAAACTATAGCATTCATGACATCCCATAGAATAAGATTCTATAGCCAACTTGAGCACTGTGTGAAGGAGGCCTTTCTTCCCTTTTGAGCAAAACATCCAGCCAATGTTGCAAAAAATGCAATGTGGGTCAGAGAACCACCCACTGGTAACTAAGTTAAGGAGCATGCTCATCTGCTCAGGCCCTCAGGATGGAAACACTTCCCACTTTCTCTGAAGAGCTCTTTGACATATACTCAGCTACTCTATTTTCTCATGCAGTCAGTCTGCCCAAGTTCAAGGTTGGTTGTGGAAATGAGGATCTTCCTCATTCTCTGTGTCTTACTGCCACGTCCAGTGCTAACACTGCAGCTCATGGGCACCAGCAGTGCAGGGGGCTGAGGTAACAGGTAACACATCCCATACATACACATCCTCTCTTCTGGGGATGACAGAAGTGCCTCTTACACTGTGGTAAGCACAGTAATCATGGGCAGAACACATCCAGAAGACCACAAGGCAAGTCCCCTCGTCCTGCTGTTCCCTGTGGCAGGAAACGTGGAGGAAACCAAGACTTGGTATAAAGAGTAGGGAGCAGTGGTTCTGCAAAAGGCTGCAATCTCCTTTCTTCACTGGTCTTTTGTCTGAACAGGCCAGGTGAGAGAGATGTTGTGGGTGGCTCAGGGTCACCACCACACCATGTAAATAAGCTGCATCAGCTGGATGGGCTTGTGCAGCTACTCTACAGAAGATGTATATGCAAGCAATACAGGAGAGAGGAGAATAAAAGCCAGAATAAGATGAACTTTTATTTCCTAAATAATATAGAGCTGAGATTTTTCCTCCTTTAAACCAGTGTTTAACTAATTATTTCATATTGCTTAGAGGGATCTGGTAAGTTGACTTTTCTGAGAAGGTAACATTTAAATTCACCACGGAGCTGAGAACAAGTGCAAGGTCAAACTCCAGCTGAAAGCAGTTTTATGACACACCACTGGCACTCCTCAGCACAACTGGCTGCTTCTCCTTTATTTGTGCTGACTCTCCAGAGGCAGCTTCATCAATCTGTCATGTGGCAAGTGCCTATCCCACCCTTCCATGGGAGTGCTTTCCAATCAATGGCAACATTACCTGCATGCCTTCCTGCCCAGAGATCCCCACGCCAACATCTGCCACTTGGATCATGCTGACATCATTAGCACCATCACCTAAAGATGACAAAATACAGTTTTGTTGTCACTAGTAGACCAGGAACAGTTAGCAGCAACAAAGTGAAGAAAATCCAGTTGTTACTGAGTGTTGAGTGAGTATGGTAAAGGAGCTGTAGGGTAGAAAATGATACATCTTTGGAATATAAGGTTCAAAGCTTGGCAAAGTTTCCAAGGCATTCTGATCTTTGTAGACCTTTTTGTCATGGAAAAGTAAAAATGAAAGAAATCTGTCTCTTTTTAAGAATACCTAAAATTCAAGTATCAGTCCTGAACTGCACCGATAGCAAAAGAGTGGAAGGTTGAGAATAAGCTTCCTAATACTTCTGCTTTCCTGATTAACTGTCTGCCTGCAATCAGGTATGACTCAGAATTAAATGTGCAAGGGGGCCTAAAGCCAATGGGAATGTCTACAGAGTAAAAACACTAAAAAAACCCAGTGAAATGAAAGAAAAAGTCAAGAGACTAGGGTTGACTAGTCCAAGATCTTTAATACACTCATGACTGGCAGATTTAATGGGAATGGTTGCACAGCCACCATCCCTTGCTCTGCTTCCAATCATGATAATATCACAAGTGATAGGTGCCATAGAAAGATACCAGAATGAGATATGCATCTACTTCTTAACCTCTGAAATTTACAGCCAGTGTGGTAGTGGCAAATGAAACTGTATTAGCTGATGACAAGACACTTTGTTTTACACTTTGGTAGCTGAGGTGTACACTCACACCTCACCCCAGTCTCCCTGCTGCTGGCACATGTATGAGTGGTATCTGCTCACTTGGCAAAGATGATGTGTTTGTGACTGGGTGACACAGCCCCGAGTTAGTCCACATTGGTTAGAAGAGAGGATGAACACTGCTAGGCTTTTAGCCACATCAGAAGCTTGAGCTCAACTCACAGGCTCAAGATGCTCAGGAAGAATGAAAATACAAGCTGCCCAGTCTCCACTAGTGTTTTTAGGCATCCTGGATAATTCAAGTTAACCAGCCAGACGATTTTTACAACATATGTAAATGATTATGTCCACAGTCAGTCAGCCAAAGATATAAATTCAGTAGGAAGGAGGCATATTTGAGCTAGATATAATATACTGAGCATGAGGATTATGATATCAGTGCACATTTGGTGATGTGGATGCCACAGGAGTCTGGCAATTATTATACATAGAGTTTTCCATGGGCAGGTCCAACCCACATGTTCCTGCTATGATTAACCAATACAGGTAGATGAAAGCTAGTGTGTTTGTGATAATATATGCTGCAATCTTATCTTTGAGCTAGATATAATATACTGAGCATGAGGATTATGATATCAGTGCACATTTGGTGATGTGGATGCCACAGGAGTCTGGCAATTATTATACATAGAGTTTTCCATGGGCAGGTCCAACCCACATGTTCCTGCTATGATTAACCAATACAGGTAGATGAAAGCTAGTGTGTTTGTGATAATATATGCTGCAATCTTATCTTGCAGCACAAG